CAGGAGAAAGGCCTTCTACTGTCATCATGTTAATGTTATTTAGCTGTTTGATATTTTAACACATTTATTAAAGCAAATACTAACTGATAACTCTTTCTGGTCATTGATTTTATCACCAGTTTTATTATTACAGATGTTTGAACATGTTACATGAACAGAAAATGAAAAGATGGTAATGATACAAGATTATTTATAATACGTTACACTTATTTACAGATCAAAACCAGTATGGACCAGTTATGTACGATTAAAGCAGGATTAACCTGAGTGACTCTTCCTGGATCATTTATTTAAACTGAATGAGCAGGAAGTCTTTAACGGTGCAGCTGGATCTGCTGCAGGAGGAGCCATGTGGACGGAAGGCTGGAGCAGACCCGTGGCTGGACGTTTCTGGTCAGAGGAGCATCATATTCAATTCAATTCAATTCAGTTTTATTTATATAGCACCAAATCATGACAAGAGTCATCTCAAGGCACTTCACATAATAAACATTCCAATCCAGGTCAGTTCATTAAGCCAATCAGAAAAATGTTTCCTATATAAAGAACCCAGCAAATCGCATCAAGTCACTGACTAGCGTCAGTGACTTTACAGCAATCCTCATACTAAGCAAGCATATAGCGACAGTGGAGAGGAAAACTCCCTTTTAACAGGAAGAAACCTCCAGAGGATCCTGGCTTAGTATAAGCAGCCATCCACCAGGACTCACTGGGGATCGAGAAGACCGAGCAGACACACACACACGCACACACACACCAAGCAATGTGTCTATGGTTACATTGTGATTTCTTAGTAAATATTCTATTTGGCGAGAGACAAACTTTATTGTATTTATCCTAGTGGATCTATAATTAAACGGATAAACTAGTAGTAGCACATCCAATGTCAAGGAAAGCAAAATGTTATTATCAGGAGAGGGAGAATGTTGAAGTGGTTAGCAGCAGTGTGCTAGACAATGGCCCCCTCCGTGAGGCCACCACAGCTCAGCAGAACATCACTGTAGCTTCTTCTGGAGAGAAAAACACTTAGAGAAAAAATAAAGTTAATAGCTGAAATTGCAGAAAATAATACAGTTAAAGAGCAGATTGTAGAAGAAAGCAGTAGAGTGTGAAAAATGGTCAGTGTATCCTCCAGCAGTCTAAGCCTATAGCAGCATAACTACAGAGATGACTCTGGATAATCTATCCTATTTAGATGTAGGCATGTTGGAGGCAGGGCAAGGGAGAGCCGTCTTTACCGACTGTACACTCCACCTCCCTGTACTCCCCCACTTGTCCAGATCTAGGCTAACATCAGATTTCAACCATAGGCCCTATCAAATAAAAATGTTTTAAGCCTAGTCTTAAAAGTAGTTGTAACCAGGTTAGTTCCGCGCTACCAAGTTTGGCCTCAAGGGGGCAGCAGATGATCATTTTTAAATTCAGGATGGACACGCTCTCAGACGCCATCTTGGATTATTGGTCTGTCGGCAGCTGATGTCCAAGCAAAAGTCAGACAAACTTGAGCTGAGCAGGGCGAACCTTTGTGAAGCTGGTTACATAGACAAGGTGTCTGCCTCACGGACTAAGGCTGGGAGCTGGTTCCACAGGAGAGGAGCCTGATAACTAAAAGATCTGCCTCCCATCCTAATTTTAGATATTCTGGGAACCACCAGTAAACCTGCAGTCTGAGAGCCAAGTGCTCGGTTTGGAAGGTATGGAACAATCAGATCACTGATGTATGATGGAGCTTGATTATTAAGAGCTTTATATGTGAGAAGGAGGATCTTAAAATCTATTCTGAATTTAACAGGTAGCCAATGTAGGGAAGCTAAGACAGGAGAGATACGATCTCTCTTTTTAATTCTCATCAGAACTCTAGCTGCAGCATTTTGGACAAGCTGAAGACTTTTAACTACATTCTGTACATACAGGACGGTCTGCAGAGAGAGCTTTGGGACGCTTACTCTCACTGTCCACTCCATCGTCCATCTACAGGGACTGCTGGGCTGGCTCAGACGATGGCTATTACATCTCTAAGACGTATTCAGAAATATGAAATGCGGAGATGGTTTATGGATCCACTGGTATAACAATTGTGACTCTTCAGCAAATATAACCACAGTGTTGTTTTTAATAGAGGTTCCTACATAAATGACTTGCCTGTTAACAGTAGCAATGGTTTGCTGCTACCTCCTGCAGGACAGAGCACCACTGACCACCTCCACACATCTTCCTCGGGCTCATCCTCCAGACCCACAACTTCACCAGCACAGAGGCAGATGTGCAGCATAGTGCATGCTAACCTGTAATAGATTAAAAAAGAGTTGGTGTTTTTCTTTTTATTGAAAAATGTAAAACAAAACATATAGCCTGCAGTACACTGGCTCTGTTCAGTTTAAAGAAAAGCGGCAGGGAATAGTTAAATAAAAACTACTGAGAATTTACATTTTTTAGACAAATCTAATCATTATTAGGCTTAAGTTGAATAAACAAATGCACACTGAAAACACTTCAATGCTATTTTATTAAATACCCTGTTTTTCTAAATGTTTTACCCCCATTTGATGCTAAATAAGAAGTTCTAAGGTCCAATTTACATTAGAAAACATCCTACTGCATTCAACATTTATAATGCATTTGGTTTATATTAATTACCTACATGATAATACTCTGTAGTAATGTGTTGTGTACGTTTAACAAGTTCATTCTGTAGCTTAAAACATACATCAAATGATCTGAAGTTAACATGTAAGTCCTGAAAGCTTCTAGAATAAACAGTTACTTTACCTGAAAACGGTTGTGAACAAACACTGCTGATGGACATGAAGCTGCTGCAGGTCCTTAATATTCCTGCTCGGTTTTCGCTAGCTTTAGCATTTTTCCTTTGCGTGTAGCTGCCGCCACGGCTGTGACGAGGCCTACGGGCCACCGTAGAGGTGAAGGCTAGACTGTCCAAATTCAGAGCCGCTGGGTTCTGGTCTTAGCGGTATAGCAAGGACCCGGCCTTGCTATACCGGCGAGGACCCGTACTCATAAGCATCCTGCCCGTGGATTCGGACACACCCTTGTATTAACTTAATATTGTGTTCTGCGTTACCATGGAAACGTGCTTAGCAACAACATTTTAGACACAACAACAATCACTTTAACCAAGTCTCCTAGGAATGAATATAACAAGCTGAATATTGAGCCAATAACAGACCTCTGTTTTTGTTCTTTTTGAACTATCTGTATTTAAAACTAGAAACAAGTTAAATTTGATTGACTGTCAGAAAGTGAGAAAGTGACCCGCTCCCTCCCAGCCCCCTGATTGGTTGAGAGAGGTCAATCATCTTCTGGCTAAATGAACTTACACACCCACACATGTGAGAAATCAAATCGATCGGCTTGGCCTAAGGAATCCATCCATCCACATATAAATCCATACATGCTTCTATCATCCATCCATCCATCCATCCATCCATCCAATAAACCATCTAACATCCATCCAACAGTCCATCCATCATTTCATTCATCCAACCCTTCATCCATCCCATATCAAATCTGAACATGTTAATCTATCAGTTTCAGATATCAGTAAATGTTTCTAAATTCACAGTTCAGCCAATTGTAAAAATGTAATTCTCATTCAAATGCCAGCTGTTTAAACACTTCAACTTTTGAGTTTTTAATCAATTTTCAAAGATTTAAGTTTTCTGCTGTTTAGCATTTTTTTGTCCATTCTCCACCTATATTCTGAGCTTTATTACACATGTTGGTAATTTTTGCTTCTAAATCTTTAAATACATTCAGCTCATTTTGACAGTTTAGCTTAGTTTCAGCTTCACTTCAGCTATTCAGCAGCTTCAGCAATCAGTTTCCAAATTTTGCGCATGCTGCTAATTTCACAGTTCAGCTAAATGTAAAGATTAAACTGTTAAACTTTCCCTACTGAAATAACAGGTGTTTAGACATTTTAGCTGTCCAGATTTTTATACAATGTTCACAGATTTCAGTTTTCTGCTGTTTAGGATTATTTTCTCTATTATTCACTCACTTTTTGTGCTTTATTTGCTTGTTGGTGCTTTTTGCTTCTACATCTTTCAATACATTAAGCTCATTTTGACAGTTTTGCTTAGTTTCCGCTTCAGTTCAGCTGTTCAGCAGCTTCAGCTTACAGTTTCAACTATCCAGCATTCAAACAGCATTTCTGCAAGAAATGCAAATTTTTCTAGTTTGTAAATAAATATGGTCTTTGCAGTCTTTTAAAGCAGCATTTCGCCTCACCCAGCTGACACTGGTCTCCATGAAAGCCTGCAGGACATTGGTTGCTGCACTCGCCCTTCCTGAGGTCACATGACCCCCCACCTGGACAGTCACATGGTCCATTGATATGACCTCTAAATGACCTTCTAGCTGCAGATTTATATCTACAATGTAGAAAAACTGTTGGTGAAGCAATATCATACCTTTCTCACAGCGCGTCCCATGGTACGCAGCCTTACAGAAACAGTTCCCAGTTTTGGGGTCACAGCCAGAAGAATGTTCTTGAACACAGTCACATTCCTTGGAACAGCCTGCTCCGTGGGTCCACCTGGGACAAGCTGGGAGGAGGGCCGGAACACGGTGGTGTTTTAATGCGCCATAACATCATTGGGCTGAGAAAACAAAATCTCCTGGAAACTTGTGTTTGTTAAGATTTAGGAAAATATGCAAAAAGAAAACCTCCAGTATAGGCCAGATAAAAATTCTGTTATCATAAAGCAGAGTTTCTACTAGGTCACATGATCCATGTATGTTTTATCAGTATTCTCCAATAAGTTCACGCTCATAAAATTAAAAGTGATGCTGAAATTATTGCAGCATTTGAGATTACAATTTTTCACCTTCAAGTTGATAGTCCAGCACTGCCACATCTACAACCACTGGGGCCAAATCTTGGCAAAGATTGTCCCAACTCATCAATAAACAGAGAAGTGCACTCCACCCTGTGTCTCCTGACACTGGCTTCATGTTAGGTGCAGCTGCAGGCTCTGGTTACACCCTCTCCACCCTCCCAATGTCCTGCTGCAGGATGGAGCAGACAGCTGTAGGCGTCTGTTGATATTCCTTGTGCTCCGTCTCTCTTCAGTTTGGTCCTGAAAGCCGGAGCTGCTTCCACTTGCAAAAATAAAGGGTAAAAACTTCCCCCAACATGTCTATCCGGAGGTTTTGGAGCCCCCCAAAAACAGTGGGAGACATCAAGATTGTGACAGAGGAGCTGAAGAATTTTTACTACAAGAGGCTGCTGCCGATAGAGAAGTATTATTCTTTCAGTCACTTTCACTCACCGAGCTACGAGGATGCAGACTTTGACAGTAAGCCGATGGTGCTGGTGATGGGTCAGTACTCTACAGGAAAAACTACATTTATCAGGTAAGGCTCAACTCTTAGCTTTTAATGTAACACAGATGGACTGATGTGGTTGACACCATGTGTATCACCAGGTATCTCATAGAGCAGGATTTTCCTGGCAGCAGGGTTGGACCTGAGCCAACCACTGACTGCTTCACAGCTCTCATGCACGGAGAAAACACACAAATCGTTCCTGGGAATGCCCTGACAGTGGATCCCAAGATGCCGTTTCGCAACCTCGACCCATTTGGGAACTCATTTCTGAACAGGTGAGAGCAATCGACAGACAAAATTGGAGAAATCCTGGATAGACGTCTGAGTAATAATGATGGGATTCATCTTTTATCTACAGGTTTCAATGCGTCAAGACCCCAAATCACGTCCTTGAGAGCATCAGCATAATCGACACACCGGGTATCTTAACAGCAGCAAAAAAGAAGCTTTGCCGAGGTGAGTCAGAGGGAAGGATTTGGTCACTGCTTCCAGATAATTAGCCATTAAACGTTATCAGTGGACTGTTCTTCTGTGAGAAACTTAGAGTGAATGGGAAAAATGAAGTGGAAATGATCAGCCCTTCATAACTCACTGGAGTGATGTCAGAAGCAAAGCAGATATAAGTGTGAGCAGGGAGGAGCAGTGAGTAACTTTGCTCTCCTCGCTTGATTTTATGTGCATTTATCTCAGGGTGTAACTGAGATGGCCTGAAACCAGAAGAGACCACTGGGATGAATTAAATGTTTCTGTATTCCTGCAGGCCGCTAAGCTGCACTAATGAAGACCCTATGTCTCCTTGTTCCTCGAGCACAGGCTATGACTTTCCAGCAGTGCTGCGCTGGTTTGCAGAGCGAGTGGATCGGATCATCCTGCTGTTTGACGCTCATAAACTGGACTTCTCTGATGAGCTCACTCGGGCCTTTGGGGCCCTGTATGGCTTTGAGGACAAGCTTCGAGTCGTTCTCAATAAAGCTGACAGGGTGGATTCTCAGCAGCTCATGAGGGTGTATGGCGCCCTCATGTGGTCACTGGGGAAAGTGTTTCGAACCCCTGAAATTCTGCGCGTTTATATCGGATCTTTCTGGTCGGAGCCAAGGCAGACGTGTGATCACTACCAGCTGATAGAGCTGGAGGAGGAGGATCTGCTGGCAGACATAAGGAACCTGCCCCGGAACGCTGCAGTGCGCAAGCTGAACGACCTGGTAAAGAGAGCACGCCTAGTCAGGGTGAGGACTCTTTGGATATGTGTACAAACCCAGCAGCTGTTATGGTTCCTTTATGGCTGATTTGTTCTCTTCCTTAGGCTCATGCACACATCATCAGTTACCTGAAGCAGGAGATGCCTACAATCTTTTGCAAAGAGAGCAAGAAGCACAATCTAATCTATCAACTTCCTGTAATTTTCACCAAGATCCAGCAGCAGCATCGAGTCCCAGCTGGTGACTTCCCTGACTGCACAAAGATGCAGGTCAAACACAATTTCTCTTTTTAGAATATGTACCTGGTTTAAAATGCTTGAGTCTCACAAGATCACATCCATTTTCAGGAGAAACTTTTGGGTCAGGACTTCTCAAAGTTCAAGACACTGAAACCAAGTTTAATGGCTTCTTTGGACAAACTGCTGACCAGCGACATAGCCAAACTGGTTCCTTTACTCCAGCCTCAGGTGGAGAGGAAGAAATCCCTGCCTAGTGTGCTGGATGGGGAATTCTTGGGAACATTCAGGCGGGACCAATTCAGACGGGATCCGTTTAAGGACATCCTCAAAGACGATGAGGGTAGCGAGACAGATTTTGAAGAATGGGTTGTGGAGAAATACAAGCCCAAATACGACGAGATTTTTTACAACCTGAGTCCGCATGATGGAAAACTCAGTGGTACCAAAGTCAAGCAGTGGATGATGACAACGCTGCTGCCAAACTCTGTGCTTGCTCACATCTGGAGGCTGGCCGACGTCGATAAGGATGGCATGTTGGACAATGAGGAGTTTGCACTGGCGGTCCACCTGATTGAGGGAAAGCTGGAAGGACACTGGCTCCCCAGAGAGCTTCCGTCTCACCTGGTGCCGCCGTCCAAACGGCCAGATACACCGAGCGAGGCATCGGCTTAGTCTTTGTATCAAAACAGGATGAAAAGTTGCAAACAAACATTTTGTACAGAACAAACAAGAACTAAACAGGTCATAATGGTCTCAAATGTATGATCTATGTCTACCTGTTTATGTATACTCTATATTATTTCATACATACATAACCCTCTCAGGCTCAAAAGAAGTTTTGATAAAAAGACGAACAACTAAGTCCTTCAGCGGTAATTCTGAGTTAAAAAATGCTCATGAAATACACATGTGGAGTAACCAGGTAGGTAGGTTTTAACGTTGCAAATCTGCAACACCTTCCTCCAGAGGGTTAAAACAGTAATCATGTTAATATTAAAACCGTTTAATTGTCATTCATACCATCCAACATAATCTGCTTTAAAAAAAATAACATTTCATTAACCTAGATGGCAAAAGCGGCCATATAATCCTGGAGAGCAGAAGCAAGCTCCATACAGACGATGGCACGGTCTGTTGTTGGGGCAACCGCACCTCCTTCTACAGTGATTTCCAAAAATATCCTCTTGGGCAACCTGTTAGAGAGAAATATGAGAACGCCTGTCTCCCTTTAAGAATGAGGCTTCTCAAGAATCATCACCCAGTTTTCTAAAACAATGAATTCATTAGCAAAACTTTAAAATCAATAAGTCATCAAAAATATTTCTATATTTTGTTCATTTCTTGCTTTTTATCAATGTATTGATGGTTAAAATCTTAAATTTCAATAAAAGATTATTTACTTTTCAATAAAAAATACATATTTAAATGTTTGTAGACTGTAGTGTGTTTATTAAACTGCTTTTAGAGTCGTTTTTAGCCATGCAATTATTTGGGAAACTAGGTCCACAAGGTGCTAACGTTGAAGCTGAATAATTATGGTTACAAGATCAAATATCTTTCAAAGCAAACCAACATACCATGTTTATTTTTATAGCACATTTAACTCATTCACTGCCATTGACAACTAAAGTCATCAATTGCGTTTTTTAACGGGGCGGACCTGGGAACAAGCTCGCGCACCTTGAGCGTGAACATCACGGCTCTAAAGTTGATTTTCACCCATGTGTGTCACACGTCACATGATCAGGAAGCAGACAATTCATGAATTAGGAGATCGTTTAGGGACGCCGCCATGCCTAAAGCCAGGTGCAAACTGAAAAAGCTTCTGCAGCTCACACTTCGTCAACAGATTGTGAAAGAACAGAAAAGGCTAGAAATGTACTGATTCTTATGAGTCTGCTCTTTCTTTTGGCAGTTTTGGTGTTTACATGGTCATAGAGCACACTGTTATGTGACTCCCCAAAAAACAGTAAAAACGTTCTGAACAACTGGCAGTCAGGGGCTTTCTGATCAGAAAACAGCTGGCAGTTAATGAGTTAAAAACCATGAGACAGTTGACCAAAGTGCTTCATAGGAGAGAAACGGTGCTCTATGGTTGAAGTCGGGACATTAGGTTTAAAGAAACACAGCAAAGAAGAATATCTACAACAATGAATAAAATGAGGCACAAGACTGATAAAAGGTTAAAAGATGGGGGTGAATATAGAGCCTAAAAATCATACCAATAAAATATTTGGGCAGTAAAAACATCAATATCCCACAAAGGAAGAAAACCAAATTACCAACCAAAAGCTGCTCAAGAAAACAAAAGGTTAAGTTTACGAACCGTCCTCACAGAGTAGGCCCTGTACTCCAAGGGGGCACAGACACCTCCCGGTCACAGGGTCACAAAAGCCTCCATTCTGACATCGACACACACTGTTACAGCCATGACCGAACCTCCCTTGTGGACAAGCTGGAGAAACAAGACGGATGTAGAGAATATACTCAGGAGGTCAGTGAACACATCTACCTTCCATACTCTTGTTTCCAAATGCAGCTTGTTAGTGGCCTTGACCCAGACCAGCTATAGCTGTTTAAGATGAGCTAAGGTGCACAATTCCATGTCAGCTTGAATTCCTTTTCAATCAACCAAACTTTATTTGTATAGCACTTTTCATACAAAGTAAAATGCAGCTCAAAGTGCTTTACAGATTAAAATGACCCCATATTCCCATCCCTTTCCCACAAATATAAAAACAATTATGACCGTTACACCCCCATCCCCCAACCCATTTGCTGGGCACACACACACACAACCTGAAAAACAGCATAAGTAAATACTGGGATGAGTTCAGATGGGTTAGGTAATGAATGACACGCCCTCAGGTGAGCCATCTGCCTTGGCGGTAGTTGATCGACGGCAGCAGCCAAGGCACTAACCCAGGGCGCCCAGGGAGGGAGGGCAGAAACCCCCACCACCGCCTAAGCATAGGAGCACCCAGGCCACCACAGTCCACCACTGGTGAATGACCTGCAGAGAGCTGGGACCACAGTAACAAAGGTCACCATCAGTAACACACTACAACGGCAGGGACTCAAATCCTGCAGTGCCAGACGTGTTCCGCTGCTGAAGCCAGTATGTCCAGGCCCGTCTGAAGTTTGCCAGAGAGCACATGGATGATACAGCAGAGGATTGGGAGAATGTCATGTGGTCAGATGAAACCAAAGTAGAACTTTTTGGTGTAAACTCAACTCGTCGTGTTTGGAGGAAGAAGAATACTGAGTTGCATCCCAAGAACACCATACCTACTGTGAAGCATGGGGGTGGGAACATCATGATTTGGGGCTGTTTTTCTGCTAAGGGGACAGGACGACTGATCCGTGTTAAGGACAGAATGAATGGGGCCATGTATCGTGTGATTCTGAGCCAAAACCTCCTTCCATCAGTGAGAGCTTTGAAGATGAAACGTGGCTGGGTCTTCCACCACGACAATGATCCCAAACACACCGCCCGGGCAACAAAGGAGTGGCTCCGTAAGAAGCATTTGAAAGTCCTGGAGTGGCCTAGCCAGTCTCCAGACCTCAACCCCATAGAAAATCTATGGAGGGAGTTGAAAGTCCGTGTTGCTCGGTGACAGCCCCAAAACATCACTGCTCTCGAGAAGATCTGCATGGAGGAATGGGCCAAAATACCAGCTACTGTGTGTGCAAACCTGGTAAAGACCTATAGTAATCGTTTGACCTCTGTCATTGCCAACAAAGGTTATGTTACAAAGTATTGAGTTGAATTTTTGTTAGTGACCAAATACTTATTTTCCACCCTGATTTACAAATAAATTCTTTTAAAATCCTGCCATGTGAATTCATGGATTTTTTTTCACATTCTGTCTCTCACAGTTGAAGTGTACCTATGATGAAAATTACTGACCTCTGTCATCATTTTAAGTGGGAGAACTTGCACAATCGGAGGCTGACTAAATACTTTTTTGCCCCACTGTAACTCCACATGTGTCATTCATAGTTTTGATGCCTTCATTAAGGAACTACCAATATAAATGGTTGTGAAAATAAAGAAAACACATTGAATGAAAAGGTGTGTCCAAACTTCTGGCCTGTACTGTATTACACCTGCTCTGTGATTGACTGTGCATGAGCAGATGTCTGACGCTATTGGCTAATTCTGAGCGGCACTCAATTCAACTTGCATGGGGCTCTGTGGGGCGGGCCTAGCAGAAAAAAAAACTGATCATCTTAATTGTTTGTCTTCGTTGATCAGATTATTTTGTTCCTTTTTTGGCATGTTTCCTACCACTTTCATGACAGATTGGTCCACTCATGATAACTCTACCAAAATACCATGAACAGACTCAGATCCAGAGAAGGAATCCAGGTAGAACAATTGAGTTGATAATCAGATTTGTAGTACCACTCTTTATGCTAGGTTTGTCCTTCGCATAGAAGGAAGAGATCAAATGAGGCTGAGAACTAAATAAGTCAGATACATTTTCATTTAGATCAAAAGAAAGATGGATAATTATCATCCCAGAACCAAAATGCAATGCGCATGTAAAGATCCAAAGTTTAATGCAATGATGACTGACTAATACTTTTCTGAGAGATGTTCCCACAAACTGATGCATCAAAAAATGAAGGAAAACCAGAAAGGAAGTCTTACTCTCGTTGCAGATGTTCCCGGTCCAGCCTGGTGAACATTCACGTCGGTCCCGGCTTTCACCACATGCTCCGTTCACACAATCTTCACAAGTCACACTGCACTCATCCCCAAAGGAGCCATCTAAACACACTGAAAAGGAAGCTCAACGTAAGATTTCTTCTACAAGATGGAACAGGTCCACAAATCAGTGTCATCATTAAGGCTTTTTACTGCACCTATGCGGCTTTCCACTCTCAGCTCTCCTCTCTGCTCCCTCTGGGTCTTTAATTCTTCATCATTAGCAGCATCGTCATCATCACGGACATAATGGGAGCGCAGTGCTGCCGTGTACTGCAGGAGCTGAGGAGTCTTTCTGAACAGCAGGTCTGGTAATCTGTCAACCTGCAGCTTCTCTTCCTCCTCTTCCACATCGCTACCGTGCAGGGCTGGACACAGAGGGTAAAATCACAGCTAACCAAAGTGATGCTGCAAAGGCGCTGTGAGCTACAATGAACTCACAGATGCACGAGTGCTGGTCCTGATCCACGTGGAAGCCCAGTTGACAGAAACACTGATACGTTCCCAAGGTGTTGACACAGTGGTGCTCACAGCCTGAGGTCTTTGTCAGACATTCATCAATGTCTGTGGAGAGAAATGGAAAGAGAGAACACATAACAAGAATGAACATTTAAAGTATTTTACAACCTAAACAGGCAATTTAGTGGCAAGAGTTACACTGGAGGCTTTTAGGGGGAATAAATCAGCTGTGCTTCTTCTCAGATTCTGCTTCTGATTTGACATCTGTTCGCCTGAAAGTCACTAAACTGTAAAAAGTTTGCTTCTAATAGTGAAAATGTGTTTTTTCCCATTTTCTGGCCTTAAATGGTCTGATTTCTGATCAGTGACTTAGCAAGTGTGCATTGAGATTGAGTACAGCTGTTCCACAGCACAGAGAGCAGCAGGCCAGATAATCTGCTAACAAGCCAGAGCTCTCACCATCACAGCCGCAGCCATCTGGGTTGAGTCTGTGGCCGGTTCTGCAGCTGCACTCGTAGCCGCCGGGGTAGTTTCTACAGAAGTGGCTGCAGCAGGACTCTTCGCTGAAGCATTCGTCACGATCTGACAAATGAACAAAAGGAAGAAAGGTGATGGGGAACGAAACGCTTAAGTGAAGAAATGAAAAAGGGGAAGTTCTCACCTACACATGCTTTCATGTCCTGGTCAAGCTGGTAGCCATGGTTACAGGAGCAGAAGAGTCTGTTGGTGGTATGCTCACAGTGATGAGAACATCCTCCGTTGTTCAGCTATTGACAATCCCCATCTCAATACCTGGAGAGGAGTGAATACAAATCCAGTTCAAATGAACAGAGAGGTAGCACATATAGTCAAGCGGATGCTTTCTATGGATAAAATTAGTTTTAAAGTGTTTGAACTATCTTAAATTTTACAAAACGTCATATTAAGACATGGTGTCACTCATTTTCTGCTCAACAGCAAAAAAAAAAAAATTTAAAAATCACAGATAAATAAAAATTTAAGATGAATCCTAATAAAATTGTAAGTTGTACTTATTTGTTTAAAGTTCAAGAAAGAGTCTGCTGTTTAATTCACTTTAATTAAATGTAATTAAGTCTTTTTTTTAAAAGTCATTTTAAAGCAAGACAAACACAAGTCAAGCCCTTTGCAAGCAGTCCAGTTCATCCAATGATGCAAAGATTCTGTCTTTTCTCTCTTTTTTAATGGATTTCTGACTCCTATAATCATACATCCCTAACAGATTCATTTCTAATGC